CTCTAAATCAATACATTCCATGTATTAATACTTTGTATTACAAATATTAAAACCAATACAGAGTGAAATGGTGTATATTAAGATTATTTCATTGAAAAATTCTTTTAATGATAAAAAATTCTCAAGTATGAATTTCATTTAAAATTTATGTTTGGTTTTTTTTGAACATAACTATTTCATTGACAATTTAAACTAATCAAATTTTACTACTTCATTCTTTTTAGGAGTTATTGAAAAAAGAATCACGAGTTATGAGTTTGGATTTACGAATTTCATACATATGTTTCCTAATTTTTACTATAGATTCGAATTTTTATCAAATAATCTAGTCATTTATCGTAAAATAATATTGTAGATAGATTAATAAAAGTGTCTCTCTTTTCACCAATTTACCCAGAAAAGAAAGTCAGTGTCAATGAATGAATGAATGTATGAAAATAAGTTTCTTTCTTCTTTCTTTCCCCTTTTAAGAGAGAAAAAGAAAAACTTAAAATTGATCGCTCACTCAATAATCAATAAATATGGTGATAGCTTTTGATAGAGGAAAACATGATGTTGTTGATCATAATTTTGAGGCATTAGAAGGATGATCTTGCAATTACGTTCATAACAAAAGTAAGAAAGAAAAAAAAAAGAGTAATGGCAGCAGCCTAATAGCAACTATACAAACACTTTCCCAGAATCCAGAAAGCTGGCTGCCCTGTCGAGGGTTTTTCAAGGGTTTAACATCAAGGGCTTCAAATTACAACACACTCACCCCTGAAAAAGGCTTATCAAATCCGCTATGAGAAGGGTTTCATCCATTCTCGGAAAGCTCCAGCATCACTCCAAAATTTCTTTCTCATTTCCTTCAGTTGATTCCATCTCCCACATATCGTCCCTCCCCAACCCTACGCCATGCACCCAAAACCACCCATCAAAATCCCATCTCAAGAACTTCTCCAAGGCCGATGCTTTACTCTTATCCAATACTAAATCTCAAGGTTTCACCACCCTTTCTGACCAAACCCCTATGGCCCCTCATATGTCTTCAAGACAGAGAAAAATAAAAGAAAGATCCCAACTTGAAGAGGCGTTCGAGTCGGCAGAGACCACTGATGATATGCTCAAGGCATTCAAGGACATGGAGGACAGCTTTGATGAAATTGAGCTTGGATTAGCTTGCTTGAAATTAGGCCTCAAACTTGACCAAGAAGGTGAGGACCTTGAAAAGGCTTTATCTTTTGCTACTAGGGCTTTGAAAGTTCTTGATAAAGATGATAAACCCTCTTTGCCTCTTGCTATGACTTTGCAATTACTGGGTTCTGTATGCTATAGTCTACGAAGGTTTAATGATAGTTTGGGGTATCTTAATAGGTCTAATAGAATATTGCACCGGCTGGAGGAACAACGTTCTTGTAGTGCTGATGATGTTAGGCCTATTCTTCATGCTGTTCAATTTGAATTGTTTAATACTAAGACTGCCATCGGGAGGAGAGAGGAGGCTATTGGTAATCTTAGGAAGGCATTGGAGCTAAAAGAGATGATGTTAGATGAAGACTGTAGGGAACTTGGAAAGGCTAACAGGGAGGTAGCAGAGGCCTACGTCGCAGTTTTGAGTTTCAGGGAGGCCTTACCATTTTGTTTGAAGGCCTTGGATATCCATAAAACGCAATTGGGACATAACTCGGTGGAAGTTGCTCACGATAGGAGGCTTCTTGGAGTTATTTATACTGGACTTGAAGAGCATGAAAAGGCACTGGAGCAAAATCAGTTGTCTCAAAGGGTCTTGAAAAGTTGGGGTTGCAATTCTGAATTGCTCCGAGCTGAAATTGATGCTGCCAATATGCAAATTGCCTTAGGAAGGTACGATGAGGCCATTAATACTTTGAAGGGCATTGTACAGCAAACTCCTAAGGATAGTGAGGATCGAGCTATGATCTTTGTTTCCATGGCCAAGGCTTTGTGTAATCAGGAAAACTTTGCAGACTCTAAGAGGTGCCTTGTGATTGCTAGTGGAATTCTTGACAAGAAAGAAGCAACCTCGCCTATAGCAGTTGCTGAGGCATTTATGGAAATATCAATGCAGTATGAGACTATGAATGAGTTTGAAACTGCAATATCCTTGTTAAAGAGAGCGCATGCAATGCTTGAAAAGATTGCGGAAGAGCAACATTCAGTAGGAAGTGTCTCTGCAAGAATTGGCTGGTTACTCCTCCTGACTGGGAAGGTTGAGCAAGCGCTTCCTTATTTGGAGGATGCAGCTGAGAGACTAAAAGAGAGCTTTGGATCCAAGCATTACGGGGTTGGCTACGTGTACAATAATCTGGGTGCAGCATATTTGGAGTTGGATAGACCTCAGTCTGCTGCACAGGTTTTTGCTTTTGCAAAGGATATCATGGATGTTTCCCTGGGTCCACATCATGCAGACTCAATCGAGGCATGTCAAAACCTTTCAAAGGCATATGCTGCCATGGGAAGGTAATGGAAACATCTTTATTGGTGATTTTGTATATAATGTCTCTCAGAACATTCTGATCTTAAATGCATGACCTGTTAGTATTTTTACTTTGTATGGTGCTTAGGAATTATTAGGTTCTCCTTGGAGAAAATTTTGTTGTATCAAAGTTGTTGAACAGAGGATTGGGACCCATTTGGTATGCTTGATTTCAGAACTGTTGTTTGTGCTTCCAATATTGCTTGTCAGTTATTTACTCCTTGCTGATGTTCACAATTTCTTAGAGGTCAGTTTATGCTCCAGTTTTCAATAGTTTGATGTTCGTGGTCTCTGTTCATCAATCTTCCGGGAAAGAGATGGAAGAGCTAAAAGCAAGAAATATAGTTGTAATGATGTGTAGTATGGCTTCAGATGTTTGAATCTTGATTTGACTATAGTCCTAAAGAGTTGGTGAAATGTTTAAGCTGATTTTCTTAAAAGATTTCCTTAGTGAGCTAAATACTTAACCTGATTTATGTGGGACGCCTCTATGAAAACTTATAGCGGACAACACAAATTTTGTGAAGAGGGATAAACCGGATGGTGAGAGTTCGTCAAAGTTGTGTATTGCTTAGCAATATTCATTGTACAGTGGCTCGATCTCTCTTGTGATTTGCTTTTTACTAGTGGTTGAATAGTTAGTTAAAATTGGTTCTCGGATTTTGCAGCTACCAGCTAGCAATTAACTTCCAGGAGAAAGTAATTGAAGCTTGGGAAGGCCATGGTCCAAGCGTGGAGGATGAAGTCAAAGAAGCTCAGCGACTCCTGGAACAATTGAATAAGAGAGCACTTGGTGCATCCTCGAATGAGTCTCTGATGAAGGCATTACCTTTGCCTCACACGATAAATGCTGTTTCTGGCGCAAACTCAAAAACTGGTCTTTCAGTTAATCAAGCACCGTCGAGTGCATTATGAGCTGTTAAATCTTGCAGAATTAAGCTTTGAGTGAACAGCTTCTGTACGAGTTTTTTTCCTGTTACATATTTGTGTTTCATTTCATTATTTGGCTGCCGATAACAATAATCTAGTACCTTAGAGATGCCTAGAGATTAACAGAAGCTAGAAATTCAGCAGTTCTTCTGAAGTCTGAAGGTTTACATACTCGTGTTTCATTTCTTGATTTGACTGGATTGACTTTATAGGAATGAAATATCTGCGAAACTGCTGTTGACACCGACTAGATGGATTTTGTTCCTAGGAACTAAACCCAATGATTCGGCCTCTTTGCCTTGCTTGGCCTCAATGAGTTCATTTGAGTTGAGTCAGACAACATATCGAAGCTTGATCGTGTGGGTAAGGCATATAAGATTAGGCCGATATCTCGTCGCTCACAGAAGATGTTCTAGAAACAGGGTCAAGAAAGAGTGCATCCGAGTAAACATGAATTGCACGTGAATCCCTGATTAAAATGTTTTCTCAGAAATGAGAAAAATGGGATCTGAAGTCATCTTTGAAACTGTGAAGTCAAAGTCTTGAATTAGCATGTGTTTGGTTATTTCAATCGTTCACATTGAGGGAGCTTCAGAGGTGACGAAGTCGCATGAGAGAGTGCGTATGGAAGAAATCTTCTGGTTGAATATAATGAGGGATTTTTATGTTGGGCTTTATTTTACTTCTGTAATAAGTTTTTTTGGGCACGTTATTGAGTCAGCAGTGGTTGGGTACTCTACGTATATCGAGTAGTAATTTATGTGAACCCACAGGATTTGTTGCAGATTGTCATGTTGGAGTAAAGTCAAACACGAATTTCGAACTCAAAATAACGTGAGATCTCCTATACTGAGTCTGAATATGAACTATGAAGTGAACTGGTCTGGTCGGTTGCCAATTCTTTATTCCTTCGCAGGCAGGGGCCAGGGCAACCTGACACCTGGTTTCAAGATTGTCCAATCCCTTAGTGAAGAAGAGGCAACGAATTCTCTTTTTATTTTGACCCTCGCCCTCGCCCAATATTTCTTCATCAGTCTTTTTGCGCTCCTCCCCGGGATCGAGCAACTCTTCGAACTCACCAGCTGCTTGTGTCGATCCTCTGGAATCAATTGGTGTTGCCGTGTTTGGTACTGCAAATTTGGACAGAAACGAGAGAATTGGCGTCATATCATATCATTCCAATGCTGCCCTTTTAGTTTTCACTGACAGTACTGTTACGGTAAAGAGTAAAATGGTCAACTATGGTTCGTCTCTGAAAATTACTCCTCCACTCCAATATGTGCAATCATACCTTTTCATTCATTCTCTGGGGAAAAAGTTGGGTCCTCTGGCCTCTTTCGTGAACCCTTTAATTCTCTCGATGCATTATGCGGGGCATTCTTGAGAGAAGCAGAAAAAAGAAAGTTCGAACGCAATCATTTCCATTCATGAAGAAGAATGTCGCATCAGCATAAAATCCTATCTAGCCATAGTGGTTTAACAATGATTCTACCAGCCCTAGTTGCCTACATTTCAGCACGAACCACCAGTGACCGGCTCTTTTCGCATCGTGCAACATCATACCTAATTATTGTGTTGCGATTAATATACCTTAACCTGCTAAAAGTTCTAATATTTCAATCTACAAGAAATAAGCAATGAATAAGAGTCGAACTAATCAACAACAGTAAGATGTTTTTGTTTTACGAGAAATCGAAATCTTTAATGCAATGGATGCGTGTTATAACTGATCTATTGGAAGAACTGCTCTTTTAGATCCTCTTCCGTGTCCGAATGAGAAGATTGATCTTTGGCTTCTGCTACTTGATTCTTCACTGTTTCTAACCTCACTGGGGTGTCTAATTTGCGTTACGACCTCTTGAACTGACAAATAAACGTGACGGTCCACGGCAGAATCCATGGAGAATGATCTCCTAATAGGCTGGATGGAGAATTGATCATCTTTCTCTCTAACATCAATGCATTCGTCTCCCATTATGGAAGCATGATGAACCTTCCCTGGTTTCAACTCTGTCAACTTCCACTCAGACTTTCTTAGGGACCGACTCCTAGATTGCACCAATTGTCTGCAGGATTCACTTCTCTCTTGGTGCCCCTGCAACAAGCTGCGAGTCCCTTCTTCTCCGCTCACTTGGATCACAACAAAGTCTTCACTGCTTCCAACCATTCTTCTCATCAAAGGCTGAGGCTCTTGGGGTGAAGAATTTGGTGCAATGATCATATCAAATGGATCTCTGGTGGTCCCAGAAATGCTTGTTCTGCAAAGAGGGCAGTTGGCGTTGCTCTGAAGCCATATATCAATGCAATCTAGGTGGAAGGCATGGCTACATTTAGGAAGAAGTCTCAGCATATCTTGGTCTTGAAACTCGTTCAAACAGACCACACACTTGTTTAGGCTGCCGCTTTCATCCCCTTCGGTCCTGTAATACCGGAAAGTGGGGAGTTCGCGGATAAGCATTTCATCGAGGCCTCGAGTCGGTAATGAAGGAGAGTAGGCCATCAAGAAGTCTTCATTCCGGGGTGCTCGCCGGAAAGAAAAGCGTCTCAGGGGGTCAAGTTGTTGCCAGCTGAAGCAGCATTTGGTGACCAAGATATAGTAGCTGATTAGTAAGAAAATAGAAGCCATGATGCCTAGTACAGCAATGGCCAATATGGGGAACCCATGGCTGGAAACTGGCAAGGGAGGTTGATTACTCGGGGCTTGTTGAGTCTTGATTTGAGGAAGGAGCAGGGATTCATGGATGTAGATGTGCTTTTGTAATCTATCCATGAAAACAGACTTCAGCGTAGATTCTCAAAGAGGGAGAAATGAAATACTAATAGTGAGATAGGAACATAGGAATGAATTGGTCAATAAAAGATGTAAATGGCAAAGTAAGATGAAATGAAGAGAACAATAGAACAGAAAATTAGGGGTTCTTGAGAAAGAGAAGGCAAAAAAAAAAAAAAGATTAAAAAAATACTATGACTTTGGCATTGAATGAACAGGTAATTTAAAAATAACGCATGGAAGAAGTGCTTGAAGATGCTCAGACATGATGATGAAAATTCGGAGAAATGAAAAAATTCAAGTTGACTTTCGATGACATCGCTGTTTGACAGGAAGATATATGTGCATAGGTATGTACTGGGGTAAAAAATGCGAGCAGACATGGGAGTGAAGATGTCAGAAAGGTTCTTATTTCCTGCCTCAAAAACCAAAATATTAGCGGCAGCCTTTAGTGTTGAACTAAATAAAATTACACGACCAGACATGGGGAGCTCTTTATTTAGTTTCAGCGTGCGGGAGAATCCTTTAGCACTTCGAACAAAAAAGTGTAAGTTGTTCCAAAATTATGATTCAATTTGCTATCCAGAATTAGACAGATGCATTCGGAACAGTTCCACGTCCAGAATGGTGTGTCTTGTCTGTATTTGATGAAATTCTACCAAGCACGGCAGCATTGCATTTCTTCCTATCGACATCGTAGATTAGATTAGGTTTCTTCTTCTTCTAACTAGTTGGTTGTGCTTATTTTGTACCACCTATTGATTTGCCACCGAACCAAGGCAATAATAATCTTTGGCTCTCTTCGTCCAATTCCCTTTCCTACAAAAAGTAAAATCATCCGGATAACTTTAAGAGTAAATCTTATATACACTAATAGTGTATACACTATATCAGCGTTGGATGAATGACAATTATATAAAATTTGAATTTGAAATTCAACTTTTATACACATGTCATGAATCAAACAGTGATAGTGTATACACTGACAGTGTAGAAATGATTAATCCTAAATTGTTTGAGTTTCGAAGTCAAACACTTCTATTGCTCGAATAGTTGCATAATTACTTTCTGCTTATTAGGAGAGGGTTTCTTCTGTAAAACCAAAATACTAGCTAGTATAAGTAGTTAACTAAGCAGTAAAAACTTCTATTGCTAATCCAAACAAGCCGAGACTCGCGTGAAGTTAATTAATTAAATAATCATATTGGTAATTGTCGGGAGTACAATCATGACTAAATGGAATTGGATTGGCACAGGCCCAACTAAGCACTTCTTCGCTATTTGGGTCAAACTAGGAATTTGATCCAAGAAAATGGCAGCAACATACGGCACGGGAATTACAACGCAAATCTTAAAACAGCATACGTTTTCCTAACCCAGCCCAAGGCTCTGCAATAGTACGTATATGATTTCTACGACGACATCTTACGTGGCGGCATCCGAAGGAATCATCGGATGATGTCGGTTTAATTAATTATTTCCCCGCCTAATGATAAATTAAGCCCCAAAGAGACACTCCTGAGTTGACTTGTGAGCTGGATCAAAGTCAAGCATGGCTTACCATCACAGGCAGGATTATGCCATTATTGACTCCTTTGCTTCCTTCATTCTGCTTAATTAATTTCCGCTCGTAATTTTGTTCAAACTCAAAACTTAGGTTTTGTTTGGATTGCATTTTTTTGAATTTTTTTTTATAGAAAAATTACTATCGCAATTTGATATATATGAGATAAAAAGATGATTAAAAAATATATTCACAGAAAACGTAGCAATTTGAAAAATTGCTGTACAAACAAGGCCTTAGGTTTCGATTTTAATCACCATCTGAGTGCTACAAATGCATATAGCATTTTAAAGTTGAAACTCTACATTTGTTATAGAGAATAAAAGGCATTATGTGTAGAGAATAATATGCTGCTATTCATAAGGTATACATCACAATGGAAGCCACCAATGTGTAGCATCAACAAGAATAAAAAACGTACTTCAAAAACAAAAAAAGAATAAAAAACATACATGGCGATGAGTAAAAAGAAAGTACTTGTATGAATTTCCTTTTACATGCACATGGTCATGGAAGGCTATCAATAGCATACATACAAACGGCTGCTCAATTAGCTGAAGCATAACTTAAAAATTGACACGAGCCAATGACAAATATGCATTGACTTTTGGGTGCTTTATTGTTCCACCAGTCTTCTGCATTCTGCTCCAACAATGAAGTGTAAATGAATCATTAAATGTAAATATTTATTTAAAATCAATATAAGCATTATTCAGGACAATTTAAGTATATGCTACTCCCTCCATCCCACTTTGATAGTCCTGTATTCCTTTTTCATCTGTCTCAAATTATAGTCCACTTTCCAATTGAAGAATGTAGTTGTATTTTAATTTTTTTAAAATACCCTTATTCAATGTAAATAGTTGCTACTATAAACCTACCTCCATTTAATGAGAGTTGATTCTTTTTTTACCATTAATTCAAGTTCCCATAAAGTTGTACCATATTTAATGTGAGGGTATTTTAGGAAAATAGCAATCTAAATTTACTTTTCCAACAAAGTTAACTATTTTTTCTTAAATTGTGTGAAAAAAGAAATAGAACTATCAAAATGGGACGGAGGGAGTACTATAAATATGTCTATTAAATGCAATTTTCTTGAATTATGTTAAGACAGGGCACATTTTAAAGTAACTAACTAACCACATGTTTTATTTACCAAAAAAAACTAACCACATGTTATACATGCATTTCATGAAGTATACATCATTATTGCCTTCGAATTCAAGTAAATGCCTCCACTATTTTTTTTTTAAAACAATGTTTTTGGCGTCATAAGACTAGAATTTTGCTTCGTAAATACACTCTCCTAGTCACGTAAGAAACTGAAACAAAGAAACATTTCAAATACAAATCTACTAGTGTGAATACCCGTGCGTGCTGATATTATTGAAAAAAATAAAATGGTGAACAACTAAAGATGAAAAAATTGAACCAACAAAATTTAAATGTAATATCTGTTTAACAATAGTTTGAAATATAATAGAATGTGTATATCATTCAAGAACTGTCTTTTTTCGAAAGATGGATTCTGAAAAAAAAAATTAAAATTTATATTAAAAAAAGGAATGATATATTTCTACAAATGAATGCAATTGAATGTTGTTAAAATGAAATACTTACAAATACTAAGCATTCGATTTGATAATCTTTCTTGAAGGTGCGAACACTCTTCACACCAATCCACTTTTAGTACGAAAGCCAAAATTAATGATTTAATTAAGTATGTTGAATTTTGTGGAGTGTGTACTACAAATGAAAATGCACGATCTTTGACGATATAAAAAACTGTATATTTACCATGATCAACCAAAAGTATTGGTGATGCGGATGACTGTCGAACTTGAAGAGAGGCAATATTTTCACTTCTTTGATCTAGAAAAAATATATATATTAAATAAAAAATAAATAGTTTTTGTATTTATTTTATGTGTAGTAAGTGATACATTGTATAAGAATTGTTAACAAAAAAATACAATAGTTAATATAGAAGTAGCATCAATAGAATTTAATACAATTGTGTTGTAATCAAATGAAAATTACGCACCAATAGAATTGTTATTAGCACTCATAGTTAATGAAATAATCCCTATATAAATATATTTTGGTATATGTAGACCCCCCAAATCCCGCAAAACCAATCACCACTTATTGAAAACAAACCAATAAATGCACTAAAATGCCTCCCATCTATACCTCAAATTGCACTTTAACCCATGAATTTTGTGCGAAATTATCCCTCTAATTGTTTTTGTCCTTTTCGATTTTTTCACATGTCGCTAACTGCTTCATTCCCTCTGCTATCACTTGTATATTTAAAATCAATTTTTAATATTAAATAAAAAGGAATGTATTAGTTTATAATATGTTCATAATATAGATAAATTATTAAATTTGGAAAAGGGCGTATGTTCTTATAGGCTTATTATTTTATTTTTTTTTTGGGAAAATGAGTTTGTTTTTGTAGATTTTTTTTTTATTTTTTGGATACAGAATTGTTTTTCAAAGATTTTGGTTCGTAGTCCCTACTATGTTTAAACCATCTTTTAATATCCAATTCAATATTGTCTTTTAATTTGGCAGCCTCTATAATTTTTAATTTATTCTTTTGGTTTAAATTCAGTTAGAATTCAGAAATTTTCAAATACCAAGAGAAACCAGATTTTTTTTTAAATCACTGTCTTGAGTCAGGTAGAACGCCGAAATATGAGTCAGGATTATTTCTTTTATGCAGTTAGTTTCCTGATATCTGGTATGATATATAATTATGTCCCTTGGATTTTTTTTTCATATAGATATCGTTAGGTCTTTGGCATCACTACTGAACATTATCCAAGTTTAGAAGGACACATTTTTTCTAATCCAGTGGATGCAAAAATACAAAAATATAAAAAAATGAAGGTAATATTGTGATTTAAACTCTAAAAAGTAGGATACCATCTTTCAAGAAGTTTCATGCCTTATTTAGCATCTCAAAAAGATGCAACATAGAACAGTTATTTGGATGCTAATAAACTCTCTTTCTACCAATTTTGAAAGGCCAACCATTAAAAGTGAAGTGAAAATTATTGCAGTCAATGCAGAGAGAAAATGATAAAGAAAAGAAAGGCTAGAATGCAATTTTGCCAAAAGAATTTCTGACGAAATTAAAAATTAATCCAATTTTAATAATGGGCGTATAGTGTCTTAGTTATTAGTAGTATCTGAATTGTTTTTCTCTAATTATAAACCATTTTTAATTATTTTTTATTATCAAAAAAATATTTTTTTAATTTCATGCACGATCATTTTTGGAATAAAATTATGAAAATAACTATCGTAATACCTTTTTTATGTGATAAATGTGCAATAAAAAATAATTAAAAAAATTTCAGTAATACAAACAAATAAATTTTTATAATATACAATTTATGTTAGAAATAGTAAAACCCTCAATCATGAATCTATACCATTCGCAATTATATAAGCAAGCAATACCTTATGTTAGAAATGCGATTGTGATTTTGTATTTATACTTTATCCCACTATTGACTATCTTTGCTTTACAGTGTAACAATAAGCAAACAACCGTTCATAGGATTTTGTAAAAAATTTTCAGAAATAATGGATGATCAGAAAATCAATGCAATATCATTCATGACAAAAAGCAAAGCAAAAGCAAAACATACTTAAAAGGCAGAGGGGACTGACCTGAAAAATTAAGTTGGCAAGAATATACTTCCAATTCTCCGCAAGAAAGTTGAGTTCTGCTAAAGTCTCTGCACATAATATCTTCCACTACTGCTCATAAAAGAAACAAAATCAATACATTTACAAAATGAATAGAGAACCAAAAACAAATAAGAAAATGAGAGAAAGTGGGGGTGAGATAGTGGGATAGTGGGATAGTGGGAATAGAGAATTTGTAGAAGTGGTTATAGGATGAGTTAAGATAGTGGGATAGTGGGAGTGAGATAGTGGGAATATTGATGGGTGATAAGGTGGGTTATAACCCACTACATTTTATGTATTAAAATAAATACAAAAATCTAGAAAAAAGAATGAGAAATTTAGAAGTCATTGAGAGGGTTTCTGCTAAAAATCCCTTCCTGAATACATATAGATATAGATTGAGTTAATTTAAGCATACTATAAGACCGTGGCATTCAAAAACACTCCACAAAACAGTTAATCCAAATGGATGTCATTTTTTTGTTTTCATCATGCAATTTCCAAGCAATTAACGAGATGGATCGTCTGCAGTACATACGCATTATTAATGTGATCAGTCAATCACTCGTTTAATACATCTTTATCAACGACCGTGTACGTGCTTGGTAGTTGACAGCTACCAAGTAAATGCTTGGTAGTTGACAGCTAATTAGATATCGACAAGTACATAACCTTTGATAGGAGCATATTTCGTCTTAAAATTGTTGGTTTTAGAGCCAATATTATCAAGCAATTGAAATAATTTGTCACGTTGAATTCAACTTATAAGATTATCTTACCTCAATGTTACATAAAATAATAATACTTGAAACATATATATTGGCACACGAGACAACATCTTCAAATTTTTAAGGTTGGCAATCATGAATTTACCGCAACTAAAAAATACGATAGAGTTGAGGAGCATTCATGCCCTTTCTAAAGCTATTCGTGCCCCTACAAAAATTATTTAATTCTAATATAGAGGGTCCCAACACATTACCTTCAAAATACAATAGCCTAATTCAAGATTATTGCTTTTGTTTGACTTGGCCCAACCAAGAGAAATAGAAGTTTCTATCAACACTTTACTTTGACCAAATAATAACTATCTTCTTTTAACACTAGAATTTAGTATTAATGGAGATTATACTATAACTATTCCATGAAAAACATATTTAGAAAGAAAACTGATCTGAAACATACTTTTTGAACATCTATTTATTAGTGGAAAAAAGATAGGAGTTACAAAGGTAGAATTTATCTCTACATTGTTAGTGAATTTTGGTTGCAAATATAATATTAGATTAATTGTATAACAGTCATATTAGTACAATTATAGCCGTTTCAAACAGTTATAAAGGTTACACAATTAATACTAAAACATAAAAGACATGTAACTCCTGTTCTAAAAGATTTTGCAACTCCCAAAATGTCTATTTATTTTATTTCATGCAAGTTATAACTCATCAAAAATTTGGTAATTAAACTCTATTTATTTTATTAAAATACACCAACAGGAACTTATATAACCTTTACCTTTATATGTCCTGATTTCAACAGCATTACAGGACGTGATGGGGCTCTAGTCAACAATAATAGTTCCCTACTCTATCGAGTTTCATACGCAGATAAGGCTGGTGACAGCGAAACTACGTTGAAACCCTTCAGGTCCCAAGCTTTAAGCAACGGAGGGTGCTAGAATACTCGAGTCAAAATGCAATTTCTGTAATCTTCAAATGTGCAGCTGGTAGAGATCAAGGAAGACGGGGAAGGTGTTGTATTAGATAATCAAAAGATATTTTCCAGTTCTTTAATGACTTTTGGGACTGCTTTCAAGATGCGTTTAATTGTTTGATTGTTTCATATTTACCGTCGCACACCACATAGCATCTCTTTTCTAGGCTTGGCCAAAAAGTCAAAAAAAGACAACATCTCTTTTGCCCCTTGTGCACCTTTGACAAGAGCTGGATGTAGTTAATTATTATTTAATCAAATCAATGATTCTTCTTTCACTAATTTAAGGTTTTCAGTGACTTTAAAACCACCGTCATTAATTAGTATGATTAAAGTACTAAAAGGGAGGTTTGAAGATTGTCCAAAATTGAATCATTTCGAGCACATCAACGTCATTTACATCATTAATACTACAACTTTTTCATGTGAAACCGTAGCCGGCCTCTCCTATTAAAAGATGGTGAACTACGGAAAATGCATGGAATTGCATCGACAAAGCATATGTTTGTGTGTGAATTACTGAACCAAAAAGCCCATGAGATTTCCGTAGAGAATTGACAGTATCCCCATTTCAGACGGTGCTTGATGTCAAAGATTATTTATACATTAAACCAGGACCAGGACTCAATCCATGCTCATCCCCAGCTAGTTTGATAGTAGTATATTTCTAGCGTCCGAAAGATGAGAGTATATATTGTGGCGCAACAAATGTTATGTTCTGATCTCTTTCCAATTAACTTTGTCCACTTCAAGGGAGAATGATTCTCCAGTTAGCATCACATGATCACAGAGTTGATTCTGGAACTAAGTTTTCATTTGCACAACAAGACAAAAGTAGAACGCACCCTAGTTTTGCATTTGGTGAGTGCCCGAATAAATAAATCTGCAAAACCACGAGAAGAGAGGAGAGGAGTGGGCTTTCGTGTTGGTTTACCACAAATACAAAGCGAAAGCGACCACATTTGCGGCCGTCTGAGCCAATGATCTCAAGCTTTGTCTTTCACGCACGGCCTCTTCAACCTGAAAGCGAATTGGTCAACTTTCTACCGGTCTTGCTCATTTTTTAGGTAAGAGGGGAAAAAATAAAGGATGTAACCGGGCCGGCAGCTTATCACGCTTATTAGATTTAAAAATTGAAGCCATTAGGCATACAATCAAGAAAGAGAATAAGCTGGTGAGGAGTTTATTGTGGGGGTGGCCAAGTTTTCCACAAGAAATTCTTCATGTACTAATCTGTAGTCACCCTACAAAAATCATATATTGTATGTATGCCAGCATTATCGTTCGTTAGATCTGCGCCATGCTCAACTAAACTGCAGGTAGCGCGATTGATTTGTTTCCACGGCCATAGTCATCGATATGGAGCAGCCACGAGTTTTAAGATGGTTTGACGTGCAATCCGTGCCTGGTGATTACCGCTTTCCGCTGGAGGATCGACCAGGACGGCTTCCCATTCCTTTATGTGACGCAGTCCCTGTAATTGACCTCCACAAGTCAACTACGAGTCCAGAAAAATGGAGCATGGTCCGACAGATTGTAGAAGCCAGTCAAGAATATGGATTTTTCCAGGTATACATGTTCCATTATTTTTCCTCATTTCCATGTTGGAGTTTATGATTAATTAGTCAGTTTCATTTCCTCCGTCTTTCCATCTTCTGGGGTGATTACTGATTAGATATCCAAGTATACAACTCTCACAGTTTGTTCAAACACATGTTTTGCACATGTATGGTGATCGGTGCAGGTGATCAACCATGGAGTATCTGAAGATGTCGTGAGGGAAACGAGTACCGTGTTTAAGGAATTTTTCAACATGTATGCGGAGGGCAAGAAAGGTACTAGTGCATCTGATGGAGATTTAAGCCGGGGCTGGATCTACATGAACAGCTCCTCCGTATTTGCAAAAGATGGTATTCATTTGTGGAGGGATAATGTTAAACTTGCTTGTCACCCCTTGGAGGAATGCATGCAAGGTTGGCCTCCAAAACCAACCCGGTATAGGTATATCTGATCCCTACTCTTCTTTTCATACATTTGAAGCAAAGGATCCCCTGAGTATATATACGTATATAGAACGTAATCCTATCAAATCAAAGGTTCGTGGAGTGCATCTCTGATTACTCTATGCTTTGGTGATGCATTGAACTTTAATTTCCAGAGAGGTGGTTGCAACATACGTAGAGGAAATGAGGAGATTGAGTGGAAGAATTCTTGAGCTGATATGTGAAGGATTGGGGCTGGAAGCTGGGTACTTGGAACGGTTGAGCCAAGTTCAATTGGTGGTAGGCAACTATTATCCACCGTGCCCGGACCCGAGTTTGACCTTGGGACTATTAAAGCACTGCGATCCCAGCCTAATTACCATCCTCCTTCAAGAAGGAAATGCATGTGGACTTCAAGTTTTGCATAATGGAAAGTGGATAGGGGTCGCCCCTCTTCCTAATGCCCTTGTTGTCAACATTGGTAACCAGCTGGAGGTATGCCTCTCTCAAAATTTTTGAATGTCCTTGTTTCTGTTAACTGATTTTCCACAAGCCACCAACTGCTCCCTTGTTCTTGTTATTTTCTTTGTTTTGTAAGTGATATGCTTACATCAGAGGAAAGGAAGGAAAAAAAATGAAACAGTTATATGTGCGAGATCATTTTCAACTTATAGTAGTCAAAGTACAGTACGCAAAAATCTACCATGTTGAAGTAAACACTGAAAATTTCTGCTTTTACGTATGATGAAAAATGGAACAATTTCAAAATCTTGGGGAGCTTGGTTGCTTGATCAAATCAATAGCAATATATGGCTGCGTCTTTAAATTGTTGAATTTGCTTCAACATGCCCTATCATTTTCTTAGCATTTGACATCCCTTTTCGTATATTTTTGTAATTGGCAACTTTGAAGATACTATAAACTTTAAATGGTTTCACCAAGTATATCTTAACAAGTAAGGAAACTATGATAACCATGTAATGCCAAAGCCAAAGACGTTTAATTTTTATAGTTTTCCTGTAATGAATCCCAATCTTACATATGTAATTGTTGTTGTAGATTATCAGTAATGGGAAGCTAAAGAGCGCAGAACATCGAGCGGTGACAAATTCATATGAAGCCAGAATAAGCATTGCCACCTTCATCAACCCTTCCCACAACTCCATTGTAGAACCTGCAAAAGTTTTGGTTGATGAGTTAAATCCTCCTCGCTACGCTCCCACTTTGTACAAAGACTTCGCTCACACGTCCAAAGTTGCGTCCACTGAAGCAACAAAACCGCCTGCGCCTCTTGATTCTTAATGGGAATTGCTGCTCTTTCACTTGCGAAAAGGACGAACCAAGTAACACGCATACTTTTCTTTATAGAAAACATCTGGAAAAAAAAGAAGAAGAAGAAATGTTTTGATTCAAAGCCGGTTTGACAGATTTATTTGGATGAAACAAGTGGAAACCCAGGATTATTTTGTTGGAGTATTCCCTCCGACAGACCTCGTTAGATTGCGGAAGTGTCAATTCACTTCTGCCCAATGCTGTATCCTGATTATTCCACACATGCGTGTGTATATATACATGTATAAAGGTTTAGAAGTGAAAAAAATTATACAGTGAGGAGATCAAATCAATACACAAATAAATACACAGATAGGCTATTCTACAGACATGAAAATATGTGGAGAAAAGGAATAAAATCAAGCATATTACATTAATTAATTAACAAAAATTAAGGACAAAACTACTAACATCACCAATGGTTTTTTGTTTTTGATGCTAACATCTTTTTATAATATGACTTTGACAAAATTTGTGTGAAATTTCAAAAGAAAACAATGTACTCATGCATCATACAATGCCTCTTAAATAGCAAAAATCATAATTATACGCGGTTTTAATACCATAATCCTACAAACTTTTAATAATAATAGTGTGTAGGATTATGACTTTTAGGCATCATACAATCCCTCTTAAATAGTAAAAAAAAAAAATCATAATTAAACGCAGTGTTTTTTTTTTTGAAGGAAGTACGCTGTGTTAATACCATAATCCTACACACTTTTGATAATAATAGCGTGTACGATTATGATCGACTTTAAGGTTTAGGAGGGATTCCACGGTGCATGAATATATCATTTTCTTTTGATATTCCCCAGAAATCTATTCGAAGTCATTACGAAAAGCCTAATGGGAAAATGTTGCTAAAATTCCGGAGCAGTAGGGAATGAATTATGGTAAGATATCATTTTGTCAATTTAATTATTACCTAACTTTTAGGATAAAGTCTGAGAGTACTAAGGATGCAAGAACATGCTCAGTTCAGAAGTGTTTTAAGGGAGAAGAAAAACGAAAAATTGAAGACTTGGGGGAAAAGGGAATATTAATGTAAATGAAACACTGGCATCCAATCTATTATATAAAAGCATTTGGTCTAGTGATGAGGTGGCACCGCACGGCCTGATGCACCTCAAATCTTGCTGCAAGTCGAATTACGAAATAGAAATTGTCCACAGCGTCTTGATTCCTTTTGTCTGTAGATCCGTCGAGGACATCTCCCTTGCTCCACCCTAGGCATTCTAAGGGGAATAATACTCTTGATTGACACAGAACTGCAAATCTCCCAATCTTTTTACACAAGTCCAAAGATCATTCCAGTTTTCTCTTGAAGCATCCCAGAGCGCTTTGAGCATCGCAATCTTTCCCAGTGAAGGTGCTAAAGAACTCTTTGTACGTGAAAGCTCGGTAAACAGGAGGGTTTCCCGTGTCAACCAGAGCCATAGCAGGTTCTATCGGGATATCACCGGATGGAATCAAGAAGGTGCCAATCGTGGTTCTTTTATCTTTTGTGTGTGTCACCACTCGATGTATAGGACTGGTGAACAAATCATTACTGATTACCTGAACCATTTCCAAAAGAGATGGATGTAAGTATGTAACACACACACACACGTACGCATAGCAGTCAGCATATGATAATGATGGAGTATCGGACAAGAGTTAAAAAAGTTAGATGAATTATTGGGCATCTTCAGCACGGTCTATAGACAAGTACCTTTAACTGGAGACCTGAAATGACGATAAATGCATCACGCACAGGTTCAACACCAAGCCACTGTCCATCCTTGAAGAGCTGAAGTCCAGGTACCGCGCACTGATGAAGCATACTTATCAGATTAGGATCACAATGCTCCGGCATACCCAGCGTCAGGCTCGGATCAGGGCACGGTATGTGATGATTGACAGACAACAGCTGAATTTTAGTCAGCTCATCTTCAAAATAGCCTAACTTCAGTCCCAGCCCTTCGCAGATCAGATCCAAAATCCTCAACAGAAACTTCCGCACTTCAACGCAATATGTACTTGTTACTTCCCTGGAAAAAGTCAGTGTCGATCTTGGCGCTAGTCCGTGGAATAGAATTCCTAGCTAACTTCTTTTCATACTAATATGCCATTTTGAGTAGAATTTCATACGTAAATGAAAAAAAAAAAAAGGTTATAAGGTGAAAGGGGAATTACCGATATCTGGTTGGCTTTTCAGGCCAAGATTGAACGTGATCCTCCAGGGGATGGCAGCTTTGGGTGAAGTTATCCCTCCAGTAGTGAAAATCTTCTTTGTGATAGTTCAAAGTGCTGGAGTAGATTCTGCAGCTTTGGTTGGTGCCGGAGGAGTAAAAGCTTGCCTTGTACTCTGCTGGCATCCCAAAGAACTCTTGGAAAACACTCATTGTGTCTTCCATTAAGCCTTGAGAAACTCCATGGTTAATGACCTGTATCATTTAGAACAGCGCGGCGCGCCAGACCATCAAAACCTTCTGTCATCATGAACAAAATAATAGCACTTAAAAGTTTAATTATCAGTTTCCAAAAGATGTTTTGAGACAAAGCATCACCAACGATTATGTTTAATGTTTTAGTTCAAACATAACCAGTGCTGATCTGGACCTGAAAGAATCCAAATTCTTGGCTTGCTTTCATAATTTTCTCAATGACTTCAGCCCGTTCAAGCCCTTCAGATTTCTCAAGGTCAATGGTCGGAAGGTCCTTGCAATCAGGAAAAATAAGCTTCCCTGGTCTTTTATCTGGAGGAAATACATAAGTTTCAGGCGTTGATTGAACATCTGTCCAGTTTGACATAAGCAGCAGCTCCATCCTTAATTTTTTGGCTCTCCAAAATTCACTCTTAGATTTGAAGTTTGAACGTGTTTTGGTGAACTTACATCTGTATATATGTATATATATAGACACACACACACACAATCACACATAGAGAGAGAGAAGAGGAGTGCGAACCAGGTAGTGAATTATTATGATTACGACCCCGCTAGAAGATCAGACAACCTCACTCAAGCAGCAGGATTTAGCACTTGTTAATGTAATCAAATAGATTCATCAAATTTCCGTTGCATTTGTTGTTTACCAATAATGCGTGCCAAATCTTATGCAATTTAAGCCTAGCTCCGACATCAATGACACCTCTTAAACACACAGCCCCCCCAAAACAAAAAACCAAAAAAGAAAGAAAAAAGAAAAAGACATCTATGACACCATCTTGCATGCACGGTCCACAACATACAGCATGCATCCTCGGTTTGGTCTTATTGCATTCCAAATTCAATGCATTGATGCAACATCAAGCCTTTCAGTACGTCTGACTTGTACAATCAGGTTTACTTTCTTCTACATTTTCAATTAACACATCCCGATCACTTTCACTCTCTCACGCCCAAAAGAAAAAAATGGTAAATTAACTTTTTACCTCCCTCCCAATGGTGGTGGTTTGGTATTTAATCCTCTATGATTTAAAAATCTATATATAATTAATCCTCTCATAATTTTGCTTAAAATGTTATAAATGGTATAGGTTTTCAAATCATCTCTTCTCTCTTTGGCAGGAAATGAATTCTGAGTGAGAAGATCTTTTGATTCCTACCTAACAAATGGGGGTAAAAAAAAAAGTTGTGTAATTTGTCTTTCGGGACCAGGGGACACGAGCAGTACATCACACGCAAATCCACATTTTGGTTTTATAACCGATTACATATCCGCAATCATTAATCAGGGACAAAACTAAATTAATTTAAAATTTTGCAAAGCTTACGTAAGAATCCCATGAAGGACCACCAATTCATGTCAATTTCGGTAAGAATTGCATTAAGGACCACCGATTGATGTAACAATTCAATTAAGGACCACTAATTTATGTCAATTTTGCATGCGTCAGACCTTATTCTACAATAAATCTGACTATATAATTCACGAGAATGACGCATTTGTTTATGGAAAAATGTTATTTATGCTCTTATTTTTTTTAATTCTCATTATCATTTTAATTATATAATTTTTATTTATTAGACTATACGATAAAAATGAACGGTGAGAATGCAAATGACATATCCTTATTTTTGGGACATAATTTGAAGATGATCGTTGACGCTACCGATAGCAGGTTTTTGGGCTAGATGAACCTATTGATGCTAATGAGTCCAAAATGGGGATATTACTTTTGCAGTCGGGCAAACCAGATGTTTTGGGATGGCTAATTTTAAAACTTTTGGGCTTGCAGAGCAGCCCGAGAGTTCAAGGCCTTCCGAAAGCCTTGCAAAGCAAGCCCGCAGAACACACCATCATCTTATATCTCAACCCAGAAGTCCCGGCGACGAGGGCCGCATCAAATTAAGCATGCAAGAACACCCTGCGGAACAATAAATGGCTACAACTAATCAGCAAATTAACTGATGCAGACATGGAGCGTGTGTGTGTGTGTGTCTATATATATATATATATATGAGAGATCCAATTATATATGTTTCATTCATTGAAGTCGGAAGATAGTACAAAAGATGTCTCTTTTTAGGTCCATAAAAGTACCTGGCCAGGCTGAAGTCGAAGTGTCTGAAATGTGTTCTTGGATATCTATCACTTCTGCTGATACAAACATTTGATCGTTCTGGTTTGTCTTAGGATCGGATCCTAGTCTTCCCCATCCATCTACATTCTGCACTCCCCTTCCTCGTCCTTCCGGTTTTGGACAATATCGATCATCTGCCTGAGAACGGCTTAAGCCAGAGACCTCACAACAACAAAATCCACAATCCAGTTGACTTGTGAACACCAGTGTACCATGATGTCGGTCACGCTAACCCCCCGATCACATCGATGATTACTTACTCCTTTGAAGCACGTGCTGATATCTTCCGTCTGCCGCTTTTCTCCACCCCAAACCCAAATCTATCCGTAACCCGCGAGATCCTGATCCAATAGATTTGAGTAGTTGAATCTAGGGTGATTAACTCAATCATTGGTCGGATCAATTATATATGCTTGGTGATTTCAAGCCAGCCGCTGACTTCAGTCTTTGTACGCCCCCCGTGAGCCTGTGACATTAGTTAGAGACGTCGTCATCATCGGAATGATGTCACCGCGCCCTTCTTCCAGAGTTCCAACTTCCAACCTGGGCATAACATAAGTGGAGCCATTTCTCAAAGATTTTGTGGGCTCTCGCATTCATCGTTATTCGTGTGGCGACTGGCAAATGATGTCACGTTTCTTTCCTCAGGCTGGAACTCTAAATCAAGGCCCTTTCTCAGCTTTCTCCCGTCAATCAACCATCTTCTTGTACATGCCAATTCGCAGGTGAACTTGCATCGCGGCGGTTCTGCTGATTTTTTCTTTCTCACATTCGAAAAGTAATATGGGAATAGTTTAGACTCACAATTAAATGTCTGCCCTAAAATAGAGTGATGGTTAGCTTTTTATATATATATATATATATAAAAAAAAAATTCGACAGTTTCAGAATGTCAGCGGCTTATACTTTTGTGAAATCGTAGCTGGGTAAATTTTTCACCTTATTGGATTTCATTTTCGACAGAATTTGCACTTTCCATGAAAGCCTTGTCCTGTCATTTTCAGTGTAGAACACAGTTGCCGGATCAACGTAACCATATAGTATATGATCTCATCCTTCATTGCATTTTACTCATAGCCAGTAACCCTACCAGTATATAACCGGCCAATTCCAGAATATAAAAGCATTAGAATCTGAACCGACGTGTTTGATCAGCATTTATTCGTCAATATATTATTATTACCAGTAGTTCTTTTCTTGCGAGCCCCATGACATCACCATCATCAAGTTTGATGTACCGGTGATTGGGTGCTAGTTAGTGCGAACAGGATAGCCAGGTAGAGTCTTTTACTAGGCATGGAAATCAATAAATAATAGCACATATTAAACTAATACTTCCAATCAATCACTTTTCCACATAAAGTGATAAAATACGCTAATTTTGTGAAGAAGCAAAAACAAAACAATCAACTTGACCTGACCACTAACCTGGTGCAAGTAACCTGAACTTAATTCAAACCAAAGAAATTGGGATTTCGAGCATAAAATATTTTAGCAGCCTCCCAAAAGCAATCACCATATCTGCTCATCATTGACGTATGTTAGAACTGCATCTCTCCATAGCTCTACACTGAGAATAGTTCTTGAACACGTTCGATGCTTCGACCATAATTGTCTTGGTGCTTCTGGCATGGGGACCATTATGAAATTCTTGTTCATTGTATGATGTATCCATTTCTGACCTTTTCCTGCCCTATATATACAAATATAAATTATGGGAAGAGCATGCAAAATTACTGCACACACCACGCTCTGGTTAAGGGGATGGCTGATCAACGTGGTGGAAATAAATCCAAAGACGACAAGGAAGGAGAAGTGAGATTCAGAGGGGTGAGAAAGCGGCCGTGGGGGAAGTATGCGGCGGAAATTCGCGATATGAATAACAACGGAGCGCGGTTGTGGCTGGGGACATTTGCCACCGCGGAGGAGGCCGCGAGGGCCTATGATCGAGCTGCTTTTGCAACGAGGGGTTCTTTGGCGGTTCTGAACTTCCCCGAGGAGTACCCTTCTTCTTCCTCATTGCCTTCATCATCATCATCATCATCATCACACGTGAACCCCAATGTTGGCAGAGAAGTGATTGAGTTCGAGTACTTGGATGATAAGGTGTTGGAAGACCTTCTGCAGGTTGAAGAAAATAAGACCACCAAGAAATAACTACTCACACTCGCATCGCATTAATTTGTTGTTCAGCATTGGAGGATTTGTATCTTAACGTCTGAAACATCTAGTATGTAATCTTCATCTTAATTGAAGGAAATAAGACCAATAAGATGCGATGCGCATCTGGGTTATATGGAATCCCAGTCTTTTTAATTGTAATTAATAGCTTCTTATTCGTCTTGACTCGGGTGTGGTACTTTTTAGCCTTGTGCTGGAGCTTAAATCCTTAATCACGGGACAAATTAAACGTCTACTAATCATGATTAGTTACAAATCTTTAAGCTGACTTGACCAGAAATAGTGGTCATTCATTTCCCGAACAGAAAGATAATTAAAGCTAGAACTTGTCCTTTGTCGTCCGGGTTCGCTTTATGAATCAAATCAAATATTAGCTAATTAATAAAATAGTTTAAAACTTATATAGAAGACATCAACTGAGGGATTAGAAATTTAGACGGTCGGTTGACTTTTTTAAATTGCCGGCGTTTCTTGGCACTTGATTCACAACCATAAAAAGTATAAGGTTTTTATTATGTCTGATTTAATTTGCTGTATTTTAAATGATTCAAATAATTCAGAATACATCTTGTAAAAGTCACTTAATTAAGAGTAAAAATCACAAGTTGAATTTCAAATTCAAATATTGTATAGTTGTTATTTATTCAAGGCTAAAAATATATATGTTCTACAATTGTGAAATTATTTACTAAATAAATACGAGTGTGATGTCCGATTGCTACTTAACCATCTTTGGAAAGCCCTCTTAAAATGGAAAAGAATTGACCTCCTGCACGCCCGCAGTGGCAGGTTTTAGTTTTACGCACATTCGTGTGGAGGATCTCCAGCGGACACGTGGGGGCGGTCCGACGGGGCATAACCAGTAAAGGTAATCTTATGCCCACTTCTGACGCTTTTTGATTTTGTAGTAAGATACTCCCAAAGTTGAACATTTCAGTTTCATTAAACGCTGGACTATAATGACGAGTTGAAAATATGTACCGTCTCAAAATTTTAGTCACACTCTAAAAATCCAACTTTTTATCAACAGCACAGTGACCTTTGGACTTTTCTTTTTAATGCTACCCCTCACAATTCAAATTTTGAATTTGAATGTAACATGCATTTGACTAAAAGTAGGGATAATATTAGAAAGTGGGACAAAAAGAGTTTTGATTTCCTAAAAGGGACAAACATTTTGCCACGGATGGAGCGCTTCACTAATCTAAAATGGAAGGATTAAATGTTAAAACCTGCCAATCAATTAATTTAAAGGGATAATTTAAGAAACCTTCCCTAAGGTTTTTGATGGTTGTAGGGGAATAGAATACCAACCGCAACCATCCATCTTTCCCACTCATTTAAAATCTTAACTCCTATTTTAAAAAACTTCATTTCAACCATCAATCTTTCATTTTCACCCCAATTTATAAAATTTTTAATTATCATCATTCACCAACCGTAACTTCATAATCTCTTTTTCTTTTTTGCATGAATCCAAGATTTTCTACCTTATTCTCGTGCTTAACAAAGTAGCCCTTTCTGCTATCTAATTCATATCCCAACTCTTCCTTTTCCCTTTTTATTGAAAAAAAATTAAAGGGCAAAAATTGCATAACAGTAATAGGAAAAATAAGGGGAAAATGATGATACGAATATCAAGCACTTCACCCATGTCAATTTGATTCCGAGACCATTAATCACATAAACAAAGTTATTGCTTGACACTAAACCTACATTTGGCAGCAACTTTCGGAGTAATAGATTTTTTTTTTTAAAATTAAGAGAATGGGTATTATAGGATATTCGTAGGTAAATTACCTAAACCCTTAATAGAAGGGAAGCTTGTGTAAATTTTAGAACTTTAGGGGAGCTTCTTGGAACTGTTAGAAATCTCAAAGGAGGTTTGTGAAATTATCCCAAATTTCAATTGAAAGTGATGGTGAAAACGTACTAAATTATTACTATTTGCAATATATGAATTGAACATTGACCGGGTGACGAAAGTTTATAGATTAATAGATTTAGCTTATCTTGGTGGTTGATTTGAGAAAAATAAAGGCTAATTAATTGCCACGAATTAGGAACACAAGTAAATGACACAATTGGAAGGAAAGAGTAGGCTAGTAGTAATAGATGTGAAATGTGAATACCATCTACTGATGCTTAAACCTGACGCATTGTGCAACACTTAAAGTTTGATTCCTCCATTATTAGTTCATTAAAAAATAATAATAATAAAGAGTTCAATTTGAAGTCATAAACGATGATGGGCCAACATAGTGACTTCGAATGAGCGTATAACGTCTATACATATTGGTTGTTCTTCGTATCCTGATAAACGGTGTTGGTGGATTTAGTGACTAATAATGGATGCATAACACCGTTTTATTCTTAATTCAAAGGTTACTTGTCGAGTTAATTACCTGGCGACTAATTATTAATGAGGAGGATTCACGTACATCTCCTAGTTATGTCCAAATCTTAATTATTTTGCACAGACATGCATAATAAAAGATTTTTTTTCTTTTTAATATTCAGATAATTTTATTAATAAAGTTACGCTAATTAACAACAGTAACTAAATACACCATAAATATGTCACAAAGGCAACATGCAGAAGAAACTTAACCTTCCTCTAATTTGAAAACCAAACGAGAAATAAAAGATTTTCAACACCAAAAAAAATTCTTGCAAATTCAAGAAAAGTCCTTGTTTAATCATTTTCATCTTTTCTTTATACATACATACATATATATAAGAAAATGATTAAGTCAAATGATGGTTGCTTCAATTAATAATGTTTTCCTGAACTTTTTGGACAGGAATAGCTCTATGGAAATTAACGACAATTTTTCATCTGAAAAGACAAATATGTCTGCTTTCATAAGGGCTGTCTGACAGATTGGATATCTTGCACTCAGAACAAGAACAAGTACAGGAGAATTGGGGCTCGTTCCTCAAAACACATGCGTTGAAATGGATTATAAATAAAAGGTCGTTGATTCAAAACCATCTACTTATCAATAAAAGTCTGATGGCATGGTTGCTAAGTTAACCAACCAATCTTACCTTACGTAACTAAAGAATGCCCCCGGATTTTAATTGTCAGACGCATTATTACAATGCCCGAGCTAAGAGTCAAAAAGACTCGCGCGCCTCCGACACGACACTAGTTTTATTCGCTACACTGTTACCAACGGCTGAATAGTATTCAGCCGTCGGCGGTGATTTTTCTTTATGCCATCCGTTTTTTGATGAATCCGGAAAGCGATCAAGTACGATGTATTAGTAACTCATCAAAGTTGACAATAGCATGAGAGCGTAATAACAGTACTGAAACTAACGCTTTCGGTCATAATTGATACAGTTTTTCCGTTTCTCTAATTGGTGTGTTGATATTTTACTTATCAAGGATTAGTTGAAAACATATATATATATATATATAGGTAGTTGTGTAAATGAAAATGTTTTCAAAAAAAAAAAAAACATTTTTGTGGAATTTCTACCAAAGGCTTTTGTCATTTTTGGTGGAATCTCTTGTCTTGAACGCAATTCTGTAATGAGTTGACAAATCACAGCGCGCCACCTGTAACTTAAACGGTGAGAATTATGCTATGCTGTTTGAATTAACTAATTGCTGTGATTAAATTCTGAATCCCAAAAGAACTCTCTGTTTGAAGTAGATACATACATATTTTGCGTTTGCGTGTGCATGTGCATGTGCATGTGCTTTTTTTTACAAGGTACTAGCTACATTAGATGCTAGAAAGAAGTGCCGCTAACAGTCGTAGAAATTACTAACCCCTACATATTGGCGCTGTACAATTTGGGTGGTGGCTTTTTTTTTTATTTTTCCCCTACATTGGCGAGGTGTACAACATTTATGAATTGAGCCGCAAAACCAAATTAAATAAGGATCAAATTTGATCACGTAAATATAGTTAAAAGAACAAATTGGGTAAGAATAAAGTTTAGGCACTATTTTTTTACCTTTAGTGAAACTGTCCTATTTCTTTTTTTTTTTTTTTTTACCTCTAGTGAAAATGTTGACAGACTGTTTTGACAGAGGCTGCACCAAAGCTAATTAATTAATTAATGGCCAGGAAGCACATTATTATGTGGCTTACCCCCCAGCTTTTTTTTTTTTTTATATGCCATGCTGCACACTTGAGATTCTCGGTGACATATTTTCTATGCTAATCCAATGCCACCTATAGTATTGCGTCAAGTGTCTTATTATTATTTACACTTTAATTTTCTAATAATTCAACTTGATTTGGTTTAACACAAGTGGAAATAATAACATGACACTTGGCGCACTACTATAGGTAGCATTGGGTTGGCATAGAAAACATGTCACCGAGAATTTCAAGTGCATACTGCAAAACCCGAAAATATATTTGTGTGAAACCTCAACATCAATATATCATATCCATTGATGTGCTTGTGCGTGCTTTTACATTATGCTTAACAAACGACGAGGATTTTTATGCCTCTTATCTCTTCCTTGAACTAGCACCCATCGATGATCTTTTATTTGCTCATAATATTGGAAGTGATCTTGCCAACTTGCTGCTCGTCAAGAAGACCAAGAATGGCCGTATTCGTTCCTAATTGTTTTTAATGAGCTACGATCTGTGAAGCCAAAACATTAATTGTATTATCTCGCTGAAAAGAAAAAGAAAAATTAATTTTGAGGTTTCCAAATGAAGAGATGTAGGCGATGACCAACTCATTGGGATGATTTTCCTAGTATATTATTGTCTAACATATAAGAAAATGCCAATGAATAAATACGTTAAACAACACAAGCATTTCGTAATGCATTTATACACCGTCTGTCTAACCACTAGGGTTGCCTAGTGGTTATAAAAAAAAAAAGGCTCTTAGGGTGTTATTTACTATTCATGATTCGAATTTTAAACCTGACAATTGAAGGTTGGAAGAGTTTGGGAAGGGGTGGGAGGACAAAAAAAATAAACACCATCAAATTC